TCCTCCCTTCCACAAACACGTCTGCCTGTGCCGGGCGCTGGGCAGGCGCAGGGACTGAAGAAACCGTCCCTGCCCGCTTGGAGTTTCCGTCCTGGAGGGGGAATGGCATCTGACAGATGGAGATGTCTACTACCCTGCAGTTAGGGGAGCAGGGGAGGCACTGGACGGCGTGGGCTGGGGAGCTAGACCCGTCCCAGGCCCTGTCCCAGCCCCTGTCCCAGCCCCTGTCCCAGGCCCTGTCCCAGCCCCTGTCCCAGCCCCTGTCCCAGGCCCTGTCCCAGCCCCTGTCCCAGCCCCTGTCCCAGGCCCTGTCCCAGCCCCTGTCCCAGCCCCTGTCCCAGGCCCTGTCCCAGCCCCTGTCCCAGCCCCTGTCCCAGGCCCTGTCCCAGCCCCTGTCCCAGCCCCTGTCCCAGGCCCTGTCCCAGCCCCTGTCCCAGCCCCTGTCCCAGGCCCTGTCCCAGCCCCTGTCCCAGCCCCTGTCCCAGGCCCTGTCCCAGCCCCTGTCCCAGCCCCTGTCCCAGGCCCTGTCCCAGCCCCTGTCCCAGCCCCTGTCCCAGGCCCTGTCCCAGCCCCTGTCCCAGCCCCTGTCCTGTAGGACCTGGGAGGCCTCCCCAGGAGGGTGCAGCTGGCCAGGTATCCCCAGGTCCCGGGCAAGGACGGAGAGAGCACGTCAGGCCGGAGAGCAGCGCTAATTAACACGTTAATTAATGAACCCAGTAACCTTTAGTGAGCGGCGACTATGAGCTGTGCTCCGGGGATGGAGGCAAGGACTGCAAGCGAGCACCCCGACCCTCGCCCACGAGACGCGCACCCTGTCTAAGAAGCAGATGAGGAAAGGAATCTGAAATATCAGCAGGAAGAAACGGTGCCCAAAAGAGAACAGGGTCGCGTGGCAGAGGTGCCCGGGAGGCTCCCCCAGGTTGTGCTGCGGGACACGGGGGCCTTTTGCAGGAAGTGGGGTTTAAGCTCAGACCTGGAGGGTGGGAGGAGCCAGGCCCGAGTAGGTGTGGGCGGTGCAAAGGCCCGGAGGCAGGACTGAGCTCAGTGTGGTCAAAGAACCGAAAAAGGCCGGTACTGTGGCTGGAGCGCAGCGAGCCCCAAGGAAAGCAACCAGACAGGAGCTCAGCAGGGCCACTCGTGCAGGGTCGTGTATTGTCGGCCTGTGGCCGTGGCAGACAAGGTAACTACCACAGCGGCTTAGACAGAGGGGATTTCGACTCAGACAACAGTAAGCCTGGGGCGAGTCGTCACGGGCCCATGTAGTGGCTTATAAACGACGCCATGCACCCTGGCTCTTCCTGTCTTCCTTTCCACTGTCCCCAGCACAGGGACCCTGAACTCGTTGCTGCCTCATGGCCACAGTTTGGCTGCTGAACCTCCAGGCCTCATGTCTGTGTCCCAGGCAGGAAGAGGGGGGAAGAGTAAAAGGGCAAAGGCTGAAAAGGCCTTTTCCTTGACAGACTCCATCTCTTTTTTTGTGTTTTATTTTTAAAATTAAATTTTTTTTTTTTTTACTTTTTACTGATTTTAGAGAGAAGAACGGGGGAGGAGAGAGAAAGAAACACATGTGCCCTGACTGGGGATCGAACCCGCAGCCTTGCCGTATCGGGGCGATGCTCTCGGCCACTGAGCCACCCAGCCAGGGTTGACTCCATCTTTTTATTCAGAACGGGACGTGCTCCCCAGGGACTTCTGTCCCATCTCAGTGGCTAGAACTGGGTTCCATGGCCGCCTCCAACTGCAAGAAAGGCTGGGAAAATCAAGTTTTAAAATTGTGCTCGTTTCCATAGTGAAGGGAGGAAAGGCAGAGGGACTGGAATGCCTGTTGGGTGGCCCATCCATAGCTTTGGCGAATGGCCTGCCAAGGCCCCTGGGAGGGAAGGGCTTGGTGAATTCTGGGCCAGGAGGTCAAGGAGTGGGCAGGGATAAGGCTGGGGGCGTGGACCTCACCTGGAGATCTCCAGGGAGCCAGGGATGGCTTTTCAGGAGCAGTGACGTGGCCAGACTTGGGCTGAAGTTCTGATATTTGACCTGAGCACCGGCGATGTGTCTCCAAGGGAGGTACATTCCAGGCTCTCCTTGGAGACTTGACCGGGGTGTCCTCAGGGCTCAGATTAAACCCTAAGTCCTCAGAGAAGGGCTTCCAGCCCCTGGGGTCTCTCTCCTTCGTGTACCTCCCTCCCTGGCAGCTGCCTTCCCGTTGGCACTCAGCGTGGTCCATGGGTGGCTCCTGGCTGTCCCACAGCATCGCTGAGGCACAGAAAGGAAAGTGGGTGTACAGTGTCCTCCTTGCACTGATGGGGAAACAGGCTCAGGAAGGTGAAAGCCTGCACCAGGTAGGGGCCGGGCTCTGCCACATTGAGGGAGGACACCAGGCACTGGATGTCGGAGCTGCTGAGCTCTAACTCACACCCACCGCGTGCAAGGCTGGGCGAGAGTGGGGGGGGTGTGTGTGTTTTGGAGGGGCCCAGGCCCTGTCCTGGGGAGTTTACCATGTGGGGCTGCCTCTTTGGACCAATTTCCTCTTGCTTGCTGTGTGACTTTGGGCAAGGCCCCTCTCTCCCTGGGCTAATTTCTCGGAGAAATGAGGGGGTCGGCAGGGATGGTTCTGGATTTTCCCGCTACACCCATCAAGTTCACCCTTTGAGTTTTAAAGATTCCAGCCCCTTGTTGGCTCTCTGTGTCTGTCTTTGGCTCAGAAAATCGCGCCCATGCCCTTCCCTGCCGCCCCGGCTGCCCAGCACAAGTAATTTAGGCGCCTGTGTGATTAAAGGTGCCCTGACTGTCTCCCTGCAGGGCCTGTGGGCCAGCAAAGGGGACCATGTCTGCCCTCCTCTCTGCCCTCCAGCAGGTTAGTTCAGGGCCTGGCACACAGTAGGTGCTCAGTAAATAGAGCAGCTGTTGTGATGATGACCATGGTGAACAAGGACACTCGGAGAGGCAGCTGCTGGAGGGAAAGGCGCCCCAGCCGGGCGCAGGCAGCCGCAGTCCTCACCCCTCCCTATCACTGGCCGCGGAGGCCCCGCATTTCCCCCCAGACAAGCCCAGGCTCCCAGCCTGCAGGCCGCGCCGCTCCAGGGAGAACTACAATCCCCAGAAGGCCGCGGGGCGGTGCCGCAGTGTTGCATCATGGGAGTTGTAGTTTATAGCTCGCCCAGCCCTCCCCGCGCTGCGGCGGGTGCGGACCTGGAGGAGCGGCTGGGCGCGTGCAGGGCTCGGGCTGCGGGGTGCAGCGCGGGCCACGCCGGGGACCCCGGGACAGCTCCTTAGCGTTCAGCTGGGAGCCCCTCCTTGGCTCCCCTCACACCCCCAATACCGTCAGCCCCCCCTCCCTGATCAGCGCTTTGAAACCCCTGATCTCGCCTAGACCTTTGCAGCCTCGGTTGACTGTCGATTGTCAGCTGTGCGTCTGGCCCTTTGGGGTACAGCGCTTAGGGTCAGGGAGCGCGGGGGACATTCAACCGTTAATAACACATCAGATGACCCCACCTGAGTGGCGGGGAGGGCCACACAGGGGCCTGGGTGAACCCGGGGACCAGGACACTAGGACAGGGCCTGGGATGGCCAGGTCGGAGCAAGGAAAGGTGTTTCCGCTGGAGGGAACAGCAGGAGCAGGAGGGAGGGCTCTGGGGCTAGAGGGGACTTGGGGCTTTTGGAGAAGCAAAAGAAGGGGGGCTGCAGGGCAGAGAGCAATGGGGAGAGGGCGTGTGGGAGAGGGGGTGAGTCCGGCCCAGCATCTCAATGACCTGGGACCACTGCGACGGTGTCCATTTGACCCCAAATGAATGGGTGACTTTCTCAGGCAGGGTGGCTGGCCCAAGCTTGACCAGGGGTCAGTGGCAGAGCCTGGACTTCACCCAGGGGCCCAATTAGAAAAGTTCACCCCTAAAATTTGCCTGCAGGCTATTCTTCTGTTAAGGCCAAGGGGACCCCCGAGTCTTGCTGGGCTGGCTGGTGGGGCTGACAGCTGAGGCTGCCCGAGTCTAGTGCTCGAAGGAGGGCGGCAGGGAGGGCCCGAGAGGGTCGCTTCCTGGGTGGGTGCCCGACAGGGACACTGGTGGGGATGTTTGGAATGGCTCTGCTGCTGTCCTGTGCTTGGCCGGCGAGTGCCGTCCCCTTCCCGTCTGCCACCCCGCCAGAGCTCTCGAAAGCTCAGGTCTGACCCCAAACGCCCCTGTCTGGTCAGGCCCCGCGGGTCAGGCAGCCAACGAGGCCGAGGGCGCGTCCGTCGTGGATCCACAGCGTCTCGCGCGATGCCGGGCATTTAGCAGGCGCTCAGTATGTTTTATGTTGAACGTTGCTGGGACGTTGGGCTCTGGCTTCCCAGGTCCGATTTGGGAGGGATAGCCGCCGTGATGAAGTTCTCAGAAGAAATTCAGAACCAGCCGGCCACGCGCAGGCCCACAGCTGCGGCACTCACAGCGGTGGAAACGTGGGAGCAGCCAGGAGCCCGTCGACGGAGGAGCCAGAGGTGGTCCATCCGCCCGGAGGAATATTACTCGGGCAGTAAAAAGGGAGGCGGTTCCGACACGTTATAACACGGATGAGCCCTGGGGACGTTGCACTAACTGAAACAAGCCCGACGCAGGAGGACAGATACTGTTTGATTCCACTTGTGTGAAGTCCCGAGAGTGGTCAGATTCGCAGAGAGAGACAGGAGGGAGGACGCTGGTCGCCAGGGCCGGGCGAGGGAGGAACGGGGAGTTCGTGTTTCGGGGGGACAGAGCTTCAGTTTTGCACGATGGGGCCCCGGGGACGGAGTGGCGCCGACGTGCTCAGTGCCCCAGCCGCGCATTAGGAACGGCTGGGTGGCACGTTTTATGTGACGTGTATTTTACCAAAGAAAAAAATGGAAAAATACGTTTTTCTATCATGGGAGTTATTTAGTTTTAACTTCTCATGATGAAAATGTTCAAAGATTTCCCCCAAATGGACAGAATAGTATAAGAGGCCCCATGTGCCCGTCACCCCCCGAACCCATGACCGCTCACCGTCGGCCTCGTTGCACCTCTGCCCCCCCCCCATCGCCCGCTTACTTTGAAGCGAACCCCAGATACCGCACCGTTTCATCTGGAAACACTTCAGCCTGCAGCCCTGAAAAATACGGGCCTTTCAGACAGAACACGAGCTCTGGACCTACAAACCCCAAATCAATGCCAGCTCATCCCTCTTAAGTGTTAAAATATGGCCATGTATGTATTTCACACGTAATTACATATGTGAAACACATATGTAGTGCCGTCAAATTCCCAGCGGTCTCAGTTTCTAAGTATATAATATAAATACAATATATGGCTCTATTAATAGAATGTATGGCTCTAGTAATATAAGTATATAGCTCTATTATAGTTTTATTTAATGTAATATTTAGTGTATTCATATGCTAGATATTTAAGATATAATTATATTTGTGTACTTAATATGATTCATATCATATAAAATATATGCAACACACGCTCGTATGTAATTGTTTCCATTTGAACCAGGATCGGAATGGGGGCCGCACGTGGAAACTGCGGGGTTTAACGTCTCCCGCACAGGCTCCCCGCCCCGTGCTCCGCCTTCATCCGGGGGGTTTGCCCCCTGCGCCCCGGGTTTCTAACCTGCCTCTCCGCTCCCTGTGCTCCCCGTAAATCAGGTCTGAGGCTTGTCCAGATTGGGGTTCACTGCTTTGGGGGAGACGTCACAGCCGGGGTGTGTTTCCCTGTCCCCCGGGTGCGAGGTCGGCAGCCAGTGGCCGTGATGTCTGGACGCTGTCCTGAGGGCCGTGTGTCCCTCCTTCATCTGTCCGCTGTCCCCCCTCTGTGCTTGGGCACCAGGTGACGCAGTGTCCAGGGCAAGTAGGACGACACTCCACCTTCCCCTCTATTCACCCCCTGCCGCTCGCCTCTAAAAATATGTTTTTATTGATTTCAGAGAGAGAGGGAGGGAGAGAGAAACATCGATGAGAGTCACTGATCGGCTGCCTCCTGCCGCAGGGCATGGAGCCCACACCCCGGGCACGTGCCTCGGTGGGGAACTGAGCTGCGGTCCCCTGGTTCACAGGTCAGCGTTCAGCCACTGAGCCCCCCGGCTGGACCGCTCACCTTCATCTTGGTCGGGGAGGAAGCTGAGGCCCCAAGGCAATGTGCCACCCAAACCCTGGGTCACGAAGCGGGGGCCTAGGTACAGGGGCTCCACTGGGCAAGGGCTAGAAGCGCAGTTTTCCGCCGGCCACTTCCGCAGCCCAAGAGACGGAAGGACAGCCGTCATAGTGGGGCTGACCTGGGGCCGCAGCCTCGCCCCTCTGCCCGAGTCCCGCAGCCCGGCCCGCGATCCGAGCGCCCGTGTCACAGCCTCAGCCAGCGGCGGGTTCGCGCGGGTCCCGGCCCACAGCGGACCTGCCTCTCTCCTTGCCTCCGGCCGCAGGCGACCGTCCTCGCTGGCCGACAGCCTTTAGTCCTTGAGAGGAGCCGGGCCTCTCGGCAGCCTCACCGCTGGGCCCGGCCTCCCGCGTCCGAGACGGCCCAGCCAGGTCGGGGAGCCTCCGGCTCTCGCAGCGCCTGCTGAGCTCCAGCCCTCGGGGAAGCGCCTCAAGTCGGGTGGCGCACAGGCGCTAACATTTCACTCATCGGCTGCTCGGGTTTTCTTCTTTAAAGTCTCTTTTTAAAAATAATGTAAATCGTATATCCAACGGTTTCCCTGGATTAGCTGGCATGCGGGGAAGGGCGCCTGTTCGAGGTGTACGCGTGACGATGAGCCTTCGTTAACTGAGCACCTGCTATGTCTCAGGCTCCTGCCTGACCGCCTGTGGGGCGGAGCAGCTGTGATGTCGGACAGCCTGGGTGGGGATCCCAGCCCGACACCCCGAATCCCCGAGTCAGCAGTGACCCTGGGCCCCTCTGACACCCTGATTCTCCTCTGAAACCTCCAGGGGGTAGATTGGAAATTATCCTCAAGTGTCCCTTCCCCCCCGTAATAGATTGTACTCGGTCCCTGCTCTCGGCCAGCGACTCTGCGGCGCCTCCCCCGGAGGAGGGCGAGGACAGCCCGGCCCACGGACCGTGGGCTCGGCCGCGACCTGCCGGGCGGGTCGACGTGAATGCATTTGATGAGGGCGTCGGCTGGGAGTTCGGGTGGGTTTTCACTTGGCTGCCTGAGCCCCTGCCACGTGCCACCGGGCAGACGCGTCCCGGGCAGCCGATGGCTCCGGGAGACACGCGTGGAGCTCACCGGGTCTTAACTGCGGCTTGAAGCTAAATCTAGGCGACCCACGGGGCGAAGCAGAATCACCCGCCTGACCCACAGCGAGGAAGAGAAATGGGGCGAGTCACTGGATTGGGGGGGTTGTTTGTTTCGCAATTTTGTAGCAAAAACAGAGAAACCCACGCATGTCATAATAGCGCCCACCGCACAGGACTGTCATGCGGGTTAAATGAGATAACATATTTAAAAATACATTTCATATATTAAAATATTTGTGTTAGAGTCTGGCATGGAGCAACTCTGAAATAGTCGATATTTTTTATTCACCTAAGCTTTGCGCGTGTGAAAACAAGTGTGCTTCTCAATGTGTCATGACATGTAGAGACTTCTTTAACTCAGTAAGGTTATTATTATTTTTTTTAGCTTTACCTGAGGATATTTTTTCCTTTGCTTTTTCAGAGAGAATGGAAGGGGGGGGAGAGAGACACACACGTCGGTCGGTTGCCTCCCGCCGGGGGTCGGCCTGCCATGGAGGCGCGTGCCCCTGGCAGGAGTCGAACCTGCAGCCCTCCGGCGCGCAGGCCAGCGCTCTGACTACCAAGCCAACTGGCCGGGGCTGTTTTTTTCCTCTCTGAGCCTTGTCACGCAGAGTAACTGTTATTTACAGAAACCCTGACTCCCGGCTCCCAGCCCGAGGTGTGGGTCACAGAAGTGAAATGTCTCAGTCTAGTGACCCTAAAGTCCCTCCGGTTATCTCCCCCCGCCGGTGCAGGAGCCCTCTCTTCTGCCCATCTCCGGGGGTTGTGCAGCCTCTGCTTGAATGCTCCTAGCGACGGGGAGCTTCCCACTTCAAACACCGGCCTTGAACTTCTGAGTCTTTCTCGTGGTGAAGACAAGCCTCTCTCTGCCCTGGTGCAGGATGACTGTCTTGGATGGGGCTGGAGTCGTTAACTGATTATGAATAGCAAGAGTACAGGCTCTGGGGTCAGACCTGGGTTAGAATTCTGGGTCCCACACCGAGTGCTGTGTGCCTTTGGGCAAGTGTATTCACCTCTCTGAGCCTCAGGGTCCTCTGTAAAGTGAGGTAGGGGAGATAGTCAAAGATCCCCCTTCCAGGGTGTTGTGGGGCTCAGTCGAGAGATACCCAGTAGGTTCCCGGGGTGTACAGGTTTCGAGGGTACAAAAGTTCCCCCCGGCCGGGCATCTCCCCTCCCCCCTCCGCTTCCTGTGTCCCTTCTCTGATTTTCCGCGCCACCCACAGCTGGTTTCCAGGCTGCTTGGGGACACAGCACGGAGAAGCGGCTCATGCCCAGGCGCTCGCCATGTGACAGGCTCGGGTCTAGACTCAGTGTCAGAGCAAATGCTCGGCCCTCATGGAGCCCACATTTGGGGCGAGGGGGCACTGAAGGCGAGCGTCATGGAGAAAATGGAGCATGACTGGGCGTCCCGGGAATGGGCTGCTGGGAGTCTTGGGGAGCCCTCAGGCGACACTAGGAGGAAGGAGCGTCCCCTCTCCCTGTCCCTGCTCAGCACTGTGGGCTTCTGTTCTGAGCGCCACTCGCCCCTTAGCAATGACAGAAGCAAAAGGACACAGGTCCAGAGAGGGGAGCCCTGGGTGGAGAGGGGACAGGTCAGTCTCCCAGGATGGTCAGACCTCATGCTGATCTGGACCAAGGGGGTTGAACGGGCTCCAGACCCCAGGGCTTCAGGTCTGAGGGTCCTGGGGTGCTGGCAGACCCCTGGGGGCCCTAACCTGTCATCTTTTGCAAATGGTCACTGAGTTCCTGCGAGGACTGGCTAGTTCCAGGCGCCGGGCCTCTGCCTCCTGGTACCCCGGCCTGGGGAGGCTGCCCGCCACGGTGGCCCTCTCCAAGGTCAGGAAAGGGCAGGTGGCACTGGGAGCCAGGGCCTTGGGTGGGCGTCAGCCCTGCCACTCACAAGCGCGTGACCTTGGGTGTGACACCTGCCCTCTCTGACCGTCCCCGCGGCTCTGCGCCCTGTCCCGTGCCACCGGCCGGCGCTCCTGCCCCCTCTCCCTGCGTTGCTATTTAAAGTGGCGGTGGTTTGGCTCTTTTTTTAAAACCATTCCCGTACTCGAGCTGAGTTCCACAAGGCCAGCTGTCACCACTAAAAATGTCTGTCGTGTGACAGCCACCAGGAGGAGGTGGGAGGAGGCAGGAGGCCCCGGATGGGACCACAGAGTGGCTGGATTAAAAAAAAACA